TCATCCAGGAAGCAATGAAAAAAACATTTTGCTGAAGTTTTGGGAACTAATGCACATATGATTTTTTTTTTCCAAATTTAATGTAGTTTATCTAAAATGTGTGGTGATGGGGTGGGCTTAGCATCCCTGCGTATAAATCTGCAGTCGACAACTCTTGAGTTAGTATAAGTTTTTCTTTCGCGGAATATTCTGATTATTTAATAGGTGATGCCAAATGTAGGCCTATCAAGATAAGACCCTAGCCTTAAGCTTGGCCTGGTTGACTCTAGGAGACGTTTCTATGATGCTTTTGAGGTACACAAAATAGAAATAAAAGATTCTTTAGTTAAAAGCTAGTGACTCTCAAAAATTTTTTAGTTAAAAGCCAGTGACTCTCATAAAATCAAAGATATGAAAGAAAGAAAGAAGATAAGGAGGGATTACATTATCTTCTACAATTAATTACATGGAAAGAGATTAAAATAAGAGATTCATATTATGGACGCAAGTTCTTGATAGGATTTTGATATGTATTTTAAAAATCTTGAAAAAAATTAAGACAATATAGCAAAAAACTGTTGAATTAAAAACGCCTTCGTGTCTGCCTCCCATTTGTGGAAATAAATGCGTTGTTGTTTCCATGTCTGAAACATTTGCGATTGTTCGACGTCTCAAATCTTTTTTAATGTAAAAAAGTGCTGATTTGGGCAAAAGCCCACTCTTTTCAAACTTTCTATCTCAATCGTGCGCCGGTACGGACCGCTTTTGAATGTGACAAGCATATTTGTTCGAAGAAACTGGGCGAAATGGTGTAATCGCATCACCTAGTCAGTCAGTCAATGACACATTCCTTCTTGATCAATCTATCTATATATAATCCAAAAAAGTTAGCTTAGCGCAAATTCCAAGTAGTTCCCTAAGCTTCAGTCTGATTTTGAGGGGTCCGAGTAAAAATAGGAACTTGTAATCACCGCAGTTCTGATAATGATAAGCTACGACTGAAAAGCCTAGTCTAAGAAAATAAATAGTAAGTAAAGTCATACTGTATTGTATGCAATGATTTTGTTGAACTCCAAAAAGTCTCAAACATTACACCTTTTTGGGGGGACGGGGGGTGGGAGGGGGAGGGGATTTGAGCTGTTCATACATCGAAGACTATGATTACGTAATTCTACGAATAATCCTTTTCGCAGTTCGACCAGTGCGCTCGACCAAGCTATGATTGAATTAGCACATAATTTGCTGAAGAATGCAAAGGATGACGATTGCTGTTGCGGCGTCATTCAAGAGAGAGAAGGAATCACACTTCTACCTATTCTTATGCTAGTAAAACGTATTCTACTCAAA